ATCCTTACCAGGAAGGAAAAGAGTGAACTGGATAGGCCTGAGCAGGAGCAGAACTTCAGCAGCAGGGGATCCTCGCCTCGGGATGAGCCTCGAGTGTTCTATGAAAGTAGAACGGGAAGGGACCTTGAGAGGCATCGAGTCCAGTCCCCGGCCCTCATGGCAGGACCCAGCACCATGGAGCCATCCCTGCCAGGTGTCTGTCCAACCTGCTCTTCAATATCTCCAGGGATGGGGATTCCACAACCTCCCCAGGCAATTTATCCCGGTGTTTAACCACCCTGACAGGCAGGACGTTTTTCCTAATGTCCAACCTAAACTTCCCTTGCTGCAGTTTAAGCCCATTGCTGGCTTTGCCCTCTTTCAGAGCTGATTCAGACTAGCTATGCCCTCTTTCAGAGCTGATTCAGACTACAGAGCTATCCTCGGAAGTTCCAGTTTAGGGGCTGTTCCCAAGAAAGAGAATCTGTATGTTGGGGGGGGCGTCAGCTGGTTTTGGGTGCTGGGGTCCACCAGTGATCTGAGAGCTCTGTGTTGGGATGGCTGTTGGGGCTGTGGGAAGAGTTAACGGTAGAGCGCACGGTGTATTCCTTAGCTGCACCTGGGACAGTAGTTGTCAACACTAAGAGGTTTGCAGTGTGTTGCTCCTTGGGTCTTGCCTCTTGAGCCCAGCATGGATACAAATGTCCAGCTGCAGATGGACATTGGTATCCACTGAACTGCAGAACTCTGCTCCCAGGAGAAGCTGTGGCCAAAGGAGAGGAAAGGGGCCAGTGTCCGCTGGGGTAGATTCTCCCAGCTGTGTCTTGTCTGGGGTCGGTGCAGCCCACAGCTGGGAGGCGTTGCAGGCGTGAGGTGCTGGCCTGTCCTTTGGCCGCAGCATCTCCTAGGAGTAGAGCCCTGCGGTTCGGCAGATACTGAGGTCTGTCTGCGGATATCAACATCCACGTGCATCTATGCGGGGTTGTACTTCTCTCCGTCCTTGTCTCTGTTCGCGGGGGGCTGTTGGTCTCAGCTATGACTGAGGAAATGAGTTGTGGTGGGGAGGTGAAGCATTCCAAGGCTGCTGGGTTCTGCTGCAGACAGTGAGACGAGGGCCCCTCGAGTGAGAGTTTGCTAGCACACGTCCATCTGTGGCCACCTTCTTCCTGTGTTTTGCTTTGCAGTTGTCGCCATGCTGGGGATGCTGTCGCCATCTAGCCGGGGCGCCCTGATGACCACTGCCTGCTTTCTCTTCATGTTCATGGGGTAAGCATGGCTCCTGCCATGAGGCCCTGCTGCTGTTGCCTGTCTGATCTCCGGAGATAACCTGGCTCCTTCCTGTCCTCCATCCTAGGGTTTTTGGTGGGTTCTCTGCTGGCCGTTTGTATCGGACTCTGAAAGGCCACAGATGGAAGAAAGGGGCCTTCTGTGTAAGTGACTCTGCGCTCCTTTGCTAAGGCAGAATACGCTTGCTGTGTTTGGCAGCAGTTCAGCATCCTGTTGTGGCTGGACAAGTGGGCATGGCCCTGCTGTACTGTATAGCGAGAGGCTGCGTATGGGGTTGGGGTCCTGGCAGCAATGTGGGGGAGGAGAAATCCTGGCGAGAGGGGTGTGTTGAGTCTGGATCACAACAAAGCAGAAGGGCCTGGGGGCAGGATCACAGGCATGCATGAAACAGAGGGGTGGATAGCAGTGTTCCTTATAAGCTGGGTGTTGTGTGGCCACTCCGGAGAGATTCAAATGCCACCCAGCTGATTAGCAGAGGGCCCACAGCTGGGTTTGTATTTCTACTGGTGGTGCACATGCATTGGTGCACATAACAAAGTTATTCCAGACATGGACTAAATTTGCACATGATTGGAAAAGATTAGAGGGAACATAGGTGCAGAAAACACAACTATCCCCCAAATTTACCCCAGTGATGGGCCCATTAAGAATACCTGGGGCAGTAATTCCAAATCTTTTCCTCTCATGCCCTCCCCTTACTAGTAAAGGAATGTGTTTGCTTCCTCCTGGGAGTTGTGGTGTGGCCTGAGGTTGCTGGTGGCATCTGGGGAGCAGGGTTCCAGGGTGTACCTCCCAGTTGGAAGATCAGTGACCTGGATGATAGGAAACTCCCACTGGTTTAACATGTGTTCTTTCCCACAGACGGCAACCCTGTACCCTGGCGTAGTCTTTGGTATCTGCTTTGTCCTGAACTGTTTCATCTGGGGGAAGCATTCCTCTGGAGCGGTGCGTACCCACCTGTAGCAAACCAAGCTGGGTGGGGTGGCGGTAGAGTTCTTGGGAGGTCGCTTAATCTCTGGGCTCTTCTAGTTTATGGAGGTGTCTGCAGCCAAGAGCTGGCCCTGTCATGGGGCATGTCACAAAGCGCGTTTAAGCTGCTGGGGTCTGGAACACTGTTGAAGAGAAGCGATCCAGCTGCAGATGCCCTGGAGAAGGAAGTCCCCTGGGCTGTGCCCTTTGGGAGGGCCGCAGTCTGACATGCTAACTCCCAAAGACGGGAACTGCCTAGAAGGGCAAATCGGTCGGCGTTGAAAAGGCCCTGCCCACGCTCCCGGCAACGTTTGATGTCCCTGGACACAAGTGGGATGTGAGCAGGGTTCCAGACAGCGTTCCCTATGGGCTGGCACTTGGGCAAGAGACGTTGAGATGATGCCCAGCTGATGGGCGGAGTGCCCAAAGCCAGGCTTTGTGTGTCTCTTGGTGGTGCACACACACTAAGCTCCGCACAGGGACGGGCCAGATTAGCAGGAACGTGGGCTACAGCTGGCCTGGGCAAAATCCGGCCCGCCGAGGCAGTGGAGAGCCCCAGGCAGGCTCCCCTGCTTGCCCCGCAGACTGTGCAGAAATGTGGCTGCAGGGCTCCATTTCTGTGTTAAAACTGGAGGGGAGAGGGGGAAATTTTAGGAGCTACCCTGCCCCCAGCACATTCCCATTGGCCGGTTTCTGGCCAGAACCCGGCCAATGGGAGCTGCTTGTTAGAATAACAGGCAGCTAAGAAGAATCACACCCCCTCTCCTGGGCTCAGTGGCTGGCCAGGCAGGCTGGGATGTTTTAAGCTCTGCAGCAGGCAGGCTGGCAGCTGGCAAGTCTCTTGGCCACAGCCTGCTTCTGGCCCCCCAGCCCTTTCCTTCCTAACTCTCTGCCCCCCCACTCAACATACTCAAACCCTCTATCCCTCTCACACCCCCTCCCAGATCTGGCACCCAATCTCCTGCCCCAGATCATGGTCCCCTCCTACCCTAGGTCACATCCCCAACCCCTGCACTCCAGTCCCCTGCCCTAGGTCACAGCCGCCTGCCTCATCCCAACTCCCTCCAACACTCCAGTCCCTTACCCCAAGCTCCCTTCTGCACCCAACCTCCATCCCAGATCCTGCATCTCCATTCATATCGTGGAAGAGTGCGGCTCTCGACCACTTTCCAAAATCTTGGAGTGGCCCCCACGGGCTACAGGGAGAGGTAAAGGGATGCCTGAAGGCCAGGCAGGGTTGAGCCCAGGCCAGCTGCATTTCCAGCTGTGATTCAAATGCTGCAGGGGAGATGTTAACCTGTGGGGACCACAAGAGAATGAGAGACTAGATAAAACGTATGGGATGCAGCCTCTTAGGTTCAGGTTCTGTTTGCTCTGTCCTGTATGGTCACTACTGAGTCTCTGTCTTGAAATTGGCCATAGCCTGAGCTCCTCCACCATTCAGAGGGACTAGGGGTTTCAAGATCTTCAGGTTTGGAAGCATCTATACTCCCAGAAACAGCTAATATTAAAGTCTGTGTGAATGGTAGAACCTAAAGGATTCCCATGGTGTGATGACAGGCCACCTCTGGTCCCTCCCTGAAATCTGACGGCTGGCTGGTGAGCCAGACTTTGAAAAGCCTGGTCTGATTGTTGACATTGGTGGATTTGGTGGGTAGACTTGGGAGGACACTAGCGGTGACACTTGGTGTGGTTCCAGGTTCCCTTCCCCACCATGGTGGCCCTGCTGTGCATGTGGTTCGGTATCTCCTTGCCCTTGGTCTACCTGGGATACTACTTCGGATTTCGCAAACAGCCCTATGATAATCCTGTGCGGACCAATCAGATTCCAAGGCAGATCCCGGAGCAGAGGTGGTACATGAACAGATTTGTTGGGTGAGCGGCAAGTATTTAGTAAATCTGATGGTTTGGAAGACTCCCCCAAATCTCTCTGCCCACGCTACAATTCAGCCATCGGGTGGTCTCTGGATATGACAAGTGAATTGCAGGTGTGTGGGTGACCCCTCCCACTTAGTTTCTCAAAAAATACCAAACATGGCGGGGGAAAAACTGGTTGAGCAAAAACTTTGGGCGACCAAAGTTGTTGACCCAAACACAAAACCCCCCAATCGCGCGCACAAAAAAAAGTCACGGCGCCTTTAAATCCCCACAGTCCCCCCCCATCCGACGCAGCAGGGGAAGAATGACCCAAGCGGCCTTCTGTCCGAGAAACAGAAAATACTGGACATTTTACATGTCCAGTATTATCTGTTTTTTTTTTTACCGGAGAGAAGCCGCAAATACCCCGCTGTCCGGATCAATACCGGACACCTGGCAACTCTTCTCCCACTGCACCTCACTTTATTCATTGTAATACTGGGCTGCTCAGAGGCATAGTAAATGTACCCTGGTCTGTAGCTTAGTACCTCCTAACTGCCTACCTACTGAGATTTAAGTGCCAAAAAAGCAGGACTTGCTCTCTTAATTGAGAGACTTATTCCAGCTATATTCTTTGATCCCAAATGTGTCTTATCTGGGTGGTGGTTTTTCTAATCTTTGCGTGAAGACAGTCATGTTTTTGCTGGTAACAGAATTTCTCCCTCACTTGTAGGATTCTGATGGCTGGCATTCTCCCTTTCGGAGCCATGTTCATTGAACTCTTCTTCATCTTCAGTGTAAGCATCAAATCTGCCCCTTTTGTACCTTTGAGAGGGAGAGGGCTTATCCACCTGGAATGGAGTATCTTGGTGTGTGCGTGCAGGAAGTGGGTAATGGCTTTGCTCACACATGCATGCACGCTCACACTCAGTGGAAAGTCCTGGCCACAGGTATTCCAGACTGGTTTCTTGCTGGGGTCTTGTGAAGATTCTGTGGGTTAGCTTTGATCTGACAGAATCTTCTTGAGTTGTTCTTCGCAAAGGACAGCCAGGTGAAGGGGTGCCCCATGTTTGCTACGAAGCATAGAAACCACAGGTGTCAGGCTTTTCAGATGAGACAAATGTATTTCCTTCCCATTTTCACCTTCACATAACATTGGACTGGAAGAACTTACAGGGGTCTTGTTACTGTGGAGAACACAGTCTCAGAGAGGGAACTGTGAGAGTCTGCAACTTGAAAAACAATGAGTAGTCCTATGGCACCCTAGAGACTATGTATATATAGTATCCGCTCCATGAGCAAGGATTCGTGGGAAGGAAGGCGGTACCGTGGTGGCTCTTCCCACTCATACTATCCCTCTGAGATTGCTTGGCCCCTTTCCCTTAGATGTTCAGAATCCAGGCAGCTATTTCTTGCTTGGTTGTGTGAACTCGCTCCTCCAGTCTCTTTCAAGGCTTACTGTGACGTATACCAGGTTTCATGTGTCTGCTAGATCCACCCTAGCAGTGACCTATCACTTGGGTCAACAGTTCTGAAAAGTTAAATGAATGTTTACTGATTTACACCAGTGTCTTCCGGTGCTGTGTTGTGCGAGGAACTTATGCCGCCTTTGTTCCAGGCGATCTGGGAGAACCAGTTCTACTACCTCTTCGGCTTTCTCTTCCTGGTTTTTATAATCCTGGTGGTATCCTGCTCCCAAATCAGCATAGTCATGGTGTACTTCCAGCTCTGTGCTGAGGTGAGACAATACCCCGTTGCAGTTTCAGTAGCGCTCTGTGAATGGCCCTTGTGTCTTTCCAGAAATGTTTACTCGATTGTTACATCACTGTAGAAGCCTAGTCTGCTGATGTGAAGCCCAAATGTAGAAGGTGCTGAATGCCCTCAACTCCCACAGACTTCAAGGGGTGTGGGCTGCTGTCTGAAAGGGAGCTGCAAAGGGAGAGGTGCAGGAAGATTAGTTTCAAATATAATCCGTTCCTGGAGAAACACCTCTAGTCTGCAGCCAGCTGAAGGAGAGCTGTGCCTTGTTTCTCATGGCATATGCCACAGCAGCGACCTGGCAAGGGGCTGGCTTTCTGTTTCAATAGTTGTCCGATCTACTTCATTTAGAAACTATTTATGGTAGTTTCTTCTTTAGAAGATGAATGAATCCCTAAGAGGGAATTTTGTTTGTTTTTGTTGTATAAAGAAAGGCAGTAACCTGCCTGGTGTGGGGATAATTCATATTCCACGTGGGCCAAAGAGGCAATATGGGTCATATCTACCTAGGAGCCCCAGAGGAAAATGAACTCCTTGCAATAATGCAGTCTCTCTTCTATCTTGTCAGGATTATCGCTGGTGGTGGAGGACCTTCTTGGTGTCTGGAGGATCTGCCTTCTACGTATTGATTTATGCCATCTTTTACTTTGTGAATAAGGTATTGTCCATCCCCACTGTGTAAAAGTTCTACCTGTCCTGAGAGTGTAGTAGAATTTGAAGAGTTAAGGCCTACTGGGTCATTTTGGTTCTAGTCCATCCACTTGTCAGTACAGTAGACTTCCGATAATCCAGAACCTATGGGATTTAGGTGGTGCCAGATTATCAAATATGCCGGACTATCAGGAGGTACTATAAGCAGCTTATATATATACTGTATATATTATATACTGTATATAAAGTGTTCTTAACCCTTTTTATTGTACATACTGTATACAGTATACTGTAATGTTTAGATTTTTTTAAGCCTTTTTTTACCCTTTTTGCTTAGTTCAGCTGCTGCCGCTGTTAACTTGTGACTCTTTTTTTTTTTTTTTTTTGCCGAAGCTCACTCACTAGGCTCTTGCCATTTTGATGCCGGACTATCAGGAGTGCCGGACTATTGGAGTTTTACTGTACATGGCTATTTTCGACAGTATCTCTCTCCCTCACTCCCCCCCTCCCCCCCACCCAATTGTTGAGTGCACTTTTGTGTCCCTAGAAACAATTCTATTAATTACCTGAACCTTCTTGCACTTGAATGGTGTATTTGGAGACTCCAGTCTGGCCTGCATTCATCTATGGGGAGTAATCTAATATTTGCCTAATGTTCTCAAATCCTACCTTGGCGGGATCATCACCAGGTGGGGTGAAATTAATTCGGGTTGGCTTACCTGTTCTCTTTCTTCTGGTGGATCCCAGCTGTGACTTGAAAGGAGCGCTGTATTCTAGGGGAAGAGGAATTTAGCTCCTATGTTCAACTCCTCGTGCTTTCCTTTTTCACTCTGCTTCCCCTGACGCTCGCTTGTGGAAGAGTAGGCCATTGACTGAGCTAGGGAGTTGACTCTTAGCATCACTTTGTACTTAGCCTCACTTTGCTTTTTCTCATCTATTTTAGCTGGATATCGTTGAGTTCATTCCCTCCCTACTCTATTTTGGCTACACTACTCTCATGGTCCTGTCTTTCTGGCTCCTCACTGGCACCATTGGCTTCTACGCAGCCTACATGTTTGTCCGTAAGATCTACGCTGCTGTGAAAATAGACTGAAGATTCATAGACTCAGCACACAGCAAATACCTCTGTGTGCATTTCCTCCGGATCCTTTTCCATTTCTTTTAAGGAAACAAAACCCAATGGTGGCGTGATGAGAGAAATAATAACTCCTCATTTTGGAATGTAATTTTTGGCACAGCGTACATGGATTCTGGGACTACTTCTGGGGGGTGGGGTATGTAGATTTTAACTTCATTATTCCAGTTTTGAGTCCCTTTTTTGCTAATTCATTTTTTTTATGTTGAATAATGAATGAATTTGAAACAGCAATGGAAACAGTTGTGAAACACTTTTTTCAGCTCTTACGGCACTTGAGTTCAGGGAGCGTTTTCAGACCTATCCCACACAGGGTTTGTCTCCTGCCTTTGGCTGTGCTTGGAAGAGGTGGAGCGTGCTTCAGGCCACAGTGAGAGAGGAGGATCTTGAAGGCTTCTCCTGCATGAGTGAATCTGGCATGCTTTTGACTATAGCAATTTCAGTTCCAATTGGTTTACAGTTCCATGGAGGTGCCATTGAGAACCTGGCAAGTGCAATTTTGCTCTGAGAGGGCTTGAGAACCATAAGCCTCTGCATTGTTTCTCCCTCCCCCTACTTTTGGACAGCATATGCCATCCCAGATGCATAAACTGGAGGGGCTGAGACGGGCAGAAGTGATTCTCTTCTGGAAGAGCTGAGTCGCCTTTAGTGGCAGCATGATGAATCAGAACATGGCATACGACAGGCGGCGTGAACACATGTTGGTTCTAGAGCACAAGACCCTGTGCCCTGGAGAACATTTGAGGGACACATGGTTTTGTTCCACTAGTTGCTTTGACTGGCCATATGAGGAAGCAGAACAGCCCCGCTTCTTTGGAGAGGCCTCGGAGGCCGGGTAAAGCCCTGTGTAGAGAAACTCGTTACAGTGTTGCGTTAGTGCCATGAAATCTCTGCTTCCATGTGGGGACACGTCTACTACAAATCGCATGTAGGCCATATGGAAACAGCCGGGGGAGTTGGAGTGAGTGGTTCTTGAGGATTTCCTCCCGCTTCTGTTTCTTAAAGGGGAGGTGTGCGTCCCACACGCTCTGTCTCTTGGCTGGTCCTGCTCTCAATTGCTGTCTTCTGTTCTTAGACACTTTGCCTCCAGGGAGCAGGAAAGAGTCACACCTGAGTGACCTGTATTCCGCTCTTTGCTGAAAAATGGGATGATCCCTCTGGAATAATTCCTGATATTCTATAGGGGATTCCTCATTTCCCATGGCTGGAGGCCTGGCTGTTGCCATGGGAGGCATGTTTTAAAATACATTTGAACGATTGAGTAATTGAAAACAAAGTTATGGCTACTAGCAAATCGAGTCCCCAAATGCAGTGAAGCCTCCCTCCATCCCCATATCTATGGGGTGACTTTAGTCAGGGCTATAAGAATTTTTTATTTTTTAATATGACAGAAATCCCCAAATATTCTGCTCTGTCACAGGCACCATTCAAAGACTCTTAACAAAACCCCTCTGTGTTGCTAACAGTTAGTCAAGTATATTTGAGGCTTTCTATCACCTTAGCAGTCCCCATTGAGGCTGTCTAAATGGTTCTGACTTTCAATGGTGACCCTTTGTTCCCCAAGCAAGAAGAATGGAGAACTAGAATCCCAAATCATTCAATTTCTCTGCATTACATCTCACCTAATAATCCTCAATTACCCAGCCAAGAATCAAGGATGGAAAGGGGGGCTTGGGATACACTATTACCTGTGGTGTGGGATCCTTAGTAATCTCTGGTTTTGAAATATTTTTCTCTGAGATTCTGGTTGATTTCCTAGTGGAGAGTTTCAGCTAGCATGAATTTCTCTCCCTCCCTCCATACTGTTTTATCTGTATTCTATTCTTTGTATTTTTAATTAATGTATGTATTCTGTGTCCGACTGTAAATAAATATGCCATTGTCCTGTTGTCCTAGTGTCCTGTGTGAGCAGCCTTTCATGGTCTCCTCTCCCATAACACCTGTTTTGATACAATCTCTTGTTATTTAAAAGACAATAAAGCTCGAAGTGGAATTGCAGTAGGAAGTACAATGTGGCTCTGCTTAGGGAGAACATCTAACTTAATTACTCCTGCAAAAGTCACTGTAAAGTTAGGCTCTTCCCAGTGCAGCATGTTCCTCATACTGAGGCACAATTTTGTGTAGCCAGAACAGAGATCTGGAAGTTGGGGTTTTGTTCCTGGCTATGATACTGACTTCCAGTTTGATGTAAGACAAATCACTATGGTTATGTCTAGACCACAACTTTTTTTTTTGGACAAAAGTACGCAAAATGCACTCCCTTCCTCCCCTCCCCACTGGGCCAAATTTCAGGAAAAAAACCTCTTTTGGAAGATTCCTTCCTCATGGAACGAGGAAGACAGGGCTTCCAAAAAAGCATGTCTGCTCTTATGCCAAAAAAAAAAAAAAGTGGAAGAGCAAACACATTCCCTGGATGCAGCAGAGTTTTTTCGGGATACCAGTGGTATCCCGCACCCCCCCACACCCCACCCCCCCCGCAGTCTAGACATATCCTTAGTCTCTCTTTGTCAGGTCTGTCACCAGTAAAATGGGGATACTTCTCTGCCTCCTGTTCTTTTCTCCCTGCAAAGTTCTGTAAGCTAAGAAAATTAGATCTGGACCTGCCTTCTTGCATAGATCAATTAATGGTTTGCGTCACATGGTAGAGTTGCTGTTTTCCAGACTGAACAATGTTGCAGAAGCCCCAACGGAAGTTATGTGGTTGCTTCTATTGGAGTTCCCGTTGCACTCTTTAGACTGGAAAACAGCAATTGGAAGTGTACTAAGTGACTAACCCGGGTTTCAGACTCTTTCAGAAAGAGAAATTTCTGAGAGGATGCACGGTGCCTCCCTCCATGCCCAGTTATTTTTGTCTGGGCACAATTGTTGGGCTAGTGAAGCTTTTAAGAAATGCAGGCGGCTTTATAGTCTCTGAACAGGGAAGATGCCGGATTCTTCACTTACAGGGAAATCATGGGTCAGTTGTAGAGCTGTTAGCTTTTTCTGAGAGAGGACTGCATATGGGTTAAAGCAAGACTAGTTTCAGGCTTGTAGGTTCTATTTCTGGCTCTGCGAATGAGTTGCTGGGTGTGGAACCAGTGACCCAGGGAAGCTATGTAAAATAGAGATGACACCCATGTAATAGGTACCATGAAACTTGAGTTTTGCAGTGCTTTTAGTTGTCTTACGCACAGTGCTGTTTGAGACGGTGGTAGTTTAACTTCCCAAGTAGGTTCCCAATTGGAATCAGTTACACAGGACACACCTTGGTGCTTCCAGGCTTCTCCATGGTAACTTCTGATTCCTGATTTAAAAGCTTCAGCAGAACCTATTGAGAACATGTCATACCAGTTTTTGACATTACCAACAAACTGACTAGCCCCAATCTTGTTCTGAACATTTAATGGGTTTTGTTTTGTGATGTTGTATAAGTTTTGTCTAAACTACAAATTCAAGCAGGCCTCGGATAGTAATGTGAAAACACCCTGCTATGGTTTGGTGTGACAGTGTGGATGTCAGATCTAAGTACATTTTAATCTCATTCAATGCTTGAGTACAATTCCAGGCTATGCTACATGTTGATACTGCATTGATAACTGTTAAACAGATTCCCCACTATGACTTTGTACGATATAGCCGGGGGATTTAGCTAGTATGCATCCTCGAAAGTAAACAAGAGTTTTGTTCACTCTGGTCAGGAAAATGGTGTTAGAGCCTTAGTAGTAGCAACAGTCTTGTTTCAGCACTGCTGGTAGCTATAGCTTTAATCAGGGTGTTTAAATGTAAGCCTATGAAATGCTGTGTTCTTGTCACTTCGTTGGCACAAGATAAACCGAACCAGCCCCCAAAAGAACAGAGGCACACGTGACAGAACTGTGTTTTCACCCATTTGCTCAGACGTGCTCCATATATGTGAAAGCAGAAATTAAAAGCACAACCACATCCATGAAGGGAATTGGAGCTTTGCGATCTACCCTGTGCTCCAGCCTCCAGAAAAAGTGCAAGCTCAAGGCAGACAGTTCAAACATTTTTAATAAACAACTTCATTATAAAAAACCCTTTCATCTTGGACTTAATTCTGTAAGACAATGGAAAAGCTAATTTTAACAGATGAGCTGTACATTTCCTAATGGCACTTGATATGTTACAATTCAAAACCTTGTTTTATATAAAGCCCAAAAATACTCTGATAAAGAGGTTATTCACTGTGTAGAAAAGTGCTAGAAAGTTTCCTTTACAAATAATCCAGCTTTAAGGAGGGGAAGCTGCTGGCCTTGGCAGCTGTGGCTGTAGGAATGGCAGCATGGACAAGGTGGCTGTGTCCCTGGTAAAAGGAGATAGTGGCTCGCTCCCTTCCACCTCAGCGACAGTGGCTGAGAAATTCCAAGTTGCTGCTTTTCATGCTCCCAGCCTTTGGACCAAATACTGCCCTCAGAGGCCCCACTCCTGCGTACTGGGACCTGAAGGCAGAATTTGTTCACTGGTGACAGAGTTCAGCCTGACTTTACCATGGCTGTGAAGGCCACTGTAGCTTCTCCTCCAGCAGCAGGTTCAGAGCTTGACTACTTCAAGGGGTGAATCTGGGTGGTTTCCAGAAGTTCCCTGCACTGTCCTCTTATCACCACCCAGTTTTTGAACCTACACTAAGGCAAATCTTTTTTTAGTTAAATATCCTTGTTAAAGTAAAATATTGATACAAACGTTACAAACTTTCTAAAACAGCTCCTAGATATTAGGGAAAACTACAAAAAAAATCAAGAACTTAATGATGCACTAAAAAAAAGGGGTGGGGAAAACTCATAAGCTCAAGACATGAGGCTTTCAGCACAAGTAATCAAATCTGCCATGCAGACTTCAGCACTCAAAAAACCTGAATGTCATTTCTTTCCCCGAAATTGCCAAAAGCTGCATCTCTGAGCAGGATGTGCGGGTGAATTCCACAAGGGGAAACCTTAATGGTACATTACTTTGAAAAGGAACAACAAAAAGCAGAAGAAAATTCTGTTTTGCTGGTGCAAATGCCAAATGTGA